GCGTTCTGTATAAACTTTGTCGTCGTTTAATAAAAGTATATATAATAAAAGTAATTCTCGTACATAATTTCATAGAGAGGCACGACGAAAAAATACGTTAATTAAAAGTTAATGATATTTACTTAACATGTGCATTCATGTATATCGTTAATAACAAAGAATCCGAATTAATATTGTAAAATTGTATCATCTTTCATATTGGATGTTGTAATTTTGTCGAATAATATAGATTCTATATTTTATATTTCAAATAGTTCCAACCCAGAGCCAGTAAATTCACTATTCGAATTAATTTCTCTACATTTTAGGAAACTGCTTATCTTACCAAAGGAACGGTATAATTTTTTTAGAATCTCGTATCAAATCAACTTTGAATAAAAAGATTTTGCTATCTTTTGAAAAAAAAGATCTCGAATTAAATCAATTTTAAAGAAGAGCTTAATAACACGCCTTCTGAAACACTTATCACCACTGAAACACTGCTCTATTATTGTATCAGTACAGTAAAACACTATTAATGTGCAATGTCACCTGGTGGATCGTACAATCATTCACTATTTGTTATACCTGGCAACTTCGCTCAAACTGGCAGCATGTTTCAACACGAGGATCGCTAACGTTTCCGTTCCCGTGGAAACAGTTACCAAAATTATCAACGAGAAGTTCATATGTAGAAACGGGAGTAAATGATACTTGTCATCAAGTATCAGGTAATCCGCACTTATGGGAAATCTCTTCAGACGAGTTCCGTTCGTCGGTACAATTTTCTCATAAACAAAGAGTGACGTATGACAGAGTAGACCGTATGCTAATGGGAGATAAAAAACCGCTGTAAAACACGTAAGTGAAATTAGAAAACTCCAACTACGTCAATTCGTACGTGTAGTGTTTTTCCAAAGATGTCGCTTACATCCGAATCGTAAGCCGTAGACTTTCGCCATGTAAGCGTGTTTCTTCATAATTTGAAGTGCCTCGCCCTGTTCCATTTCCATGTCGCGCCTTACTTTGTCCATAAACTTCTTCATCTACGTTTATTTACGATTTATGTGCACTTTGCAAAATGCTTACAAGCAAATTCTTATTTAACTGGACAATCGAGTACTTACTGTAGGAAGTTGGTACCAACTTATATTGTACCTTGCAAAAGAAGCCAAGTTCATGAGCACGAACGAAACGTACTTTAGCATGAATTCCCCGGTTTTCAAGACCATACACTGGAAAACGTAATGAATTATGGAAATATTCACAGAAGGGAATTTGACAAATATTCAATGGAAACAAATATA